AGCTTGGATTGGTGCTCATACATGCTTATACAGCTTTTATTGGTGCTCATCTATGTTTATACAGCTTGGATTGGTGCTCATACATGTTTATACAGCTTGGATTGGTGCTCATCTATGTTTATACAGCTTGGACTGGTGCTCATACATGTTTATACAGCTTGGATTGGTGCTCATCCATGTTTATACAGCTTGGATTGGTGCTCATCTATGTTTATACAGCTTGGACTGGTGCTCATACATGTTTATACAGCTTGGACTGGTACTCATCTATGTTTATACAGCTTGTATTGGTGCTCATACATGTTTATACAGCTTGGATTGGTACTCATCCATGTTTATACAGCTTGGATTGGTGCTCATACATGTTTATACAGCTTGGATTGGTACTCATCCATGTTTATACAGCTTGGATTGGTGCTCATACATGTTTATACAGCTTGGATTTTTGCCCCTGCTCAGTCCTACTAGTTTTCAACGATTAAATATTGAAGAAGTCTAAAGTATCCCTGAGTAAAAAAACTTCATTTAAAAATGTCATTGATACCCTTAATACGAATGTTTGTGATGATTAAGCTATGATTTCAATATTAATGAAACAATTTATATAGATTTAAAGCTCTTAAGCACGTCTCAATAGTTCTTTAGCCATAGAGCATAGCTTTGAGCAACAAGAACTATTTTAATTAAAGCTCTTAAACATGTCTCAATAGTTCTTTAACCATAGAACATAGCTTTGAGCAACAAGAACTATTTTAATTAAAGCTCTTAAACATGTCTCAATAGTTCTTTAGCCATAGAGCATAGCTTTGAGCAACAAGAACTATTTTAATTAAAGCTCTTAAGCATGTCTCAATAGTTCTTTAACCATAGAGCATAGCTTTAAGCAACGAAAACTATTTTATTTTGGACGAAAAAAACCTCATATAATTCTGTTCATCTAACGAATGCGATGGTATCACAACATTAAATCGTTGACATTCCGCCAAAAACAAAGAAACTTCAGTATTATGGAAAACATTCTGACAGTGTCGTAGGCTATAAGCAGGAGGCAAAGAGAAACTTTTTGCTACAAGTGTGTTGCCAAACATTTATTAATTTGTGAGTGTGAAACACTTAAATACACCATTCCGATTTTCTATACTTCACCACTATAAAGGCTTGATTTGGTCTGAAGTTTCATTGGTGGTAGTGTCCACGGTCACTGACGAGGAGTGAAATTCTCCGAAACTAGTGTGGCCCACAGACACACCCCCAATGAAAGAATAAACCATTCCAAGTATTTATTTGTTGTTTAAAAATGTTTAAACAACTTTATTCGTTTATTAATTATTAAAATGTAGCTCATCAATATCCTACAGAGAAAATGTTTAACAATTAGGGGCACTTGATGAAAAGAAATGGCTACTAGATGATAACAAGTCTAACAATATTGTTTTGAAGATATATATCCCTAGTGAAGACAGTTGGAACTAAAAATAAGTGTTTTAAGTGGCTGTAATGTTGTAGATTTTTAACGAATGGTTTAGTTTTTTTTATAAGCATATGCTCTATAAAACCATCGTTACCATTAGAATATATATATACATCCCATCCCAATATAATGTTTACCACGTTCCAGTGTTAAAACATAAATAATTTAGAAACACGCCGATTCCTTGTCACTGCTATCATGTTTTATGGGTATAACACGTGGTAGTGGAAGTTGTGTTATCCCCTAACTATGTGCATGTTTACGATAGAGACTAATTCGAAAACGAGGAGAGAAACTCGGTCAAACTAATCATATAGGCTAACCTTGCATTTTAAAATGAACTAATGTGAGACGAGCAAACTTGGTATATTATTTTGATATGATCCCTTTTACCATTTACATATAAGGAGAATTAAACTTTGAAAAGGAAACTAAAGTATATCTCATAAATAATCTCATCAAACACTGAATTTGGGAGAGTGGTTGTTAATTTTTTCCACTGACTCCTTCACAAAAAAATATTAAATAATCTAGCTGACCCCCCTTCCCTACTCAGATGGGTCTATCTGCCCAAATTGATTCTACAGTGTATAAAATCAGAATCAATATATATATATATATATATATATATATATA